AGTCCAAAATTAGAGTGCCGTCCTTGACTGATTGGGACCGTCTACTTTTGTCCAGAAGGGAATGGCAAAATTTTGGAAAGTTAGAAGTTAAAAGGAAAAATAGTGACAGCATTTTGGAACAGGAAATGTGATTTGAGCAGACAAGCATGTTTTCAACCACAAGCACCAGAAATGGGCTCATGAAATGTATATAATATTCTGCAAAATGAAGATATACTTTAAAAATAAAGCTGGTGATAATACTCCATTTCATTAACACAACTTATAAGTCATTCACGTTCAGTTTCCAGACATGTTAAATTAGACGACCAGAGAGTCTCTGAGTGTTTACATGATCTCTTCTAGATATTCTTCTAAAGGCATAAAGGAAACTTTTGAAATTTATATCTGACAAATAAGAATATTAATTTAATATTAACTCTATTGAAAAACTTACTTTTGTACATACCAGCGTGCATAAACAAATAAAACAAATTTTCCGAAAGATTGATCCTCACCCGTTCCTGCATCATCATGATGCTCCAAAATCTTGTAAACCTCCATCGGAGCAGAATAACCATGAATCAGAGAAAATGTACGGGAATGAGAGAAACATAATATGAGGCTAAGAATGACTGGCCTCAGAACTTTGGCTATCTGCATGTTATGGCGAGAAGATTTAGCAAGAGTACTTTTGCTGTCAGTTACACTCAGGAAAAGGTCAGGAAATGACAATCCACCTTAACTAAAATAAGATTACTCTCTGGATTATATTTGTCACGGAAGAGATCAGGAAAGCTCTCAATAACTGCTGAAGCAGCAACGCAGATAAGTGTATATACTGGATAAAGAAACCTGCACATAAAAATGTCCACCATCATTGTTAACTCAAGTATAAATTCTACATTTGCCTTTATATCTCACTGATTGCATAAGCTAGAGGAACAGAACCAAATGAGAAAATCATATCCAGTATTGTTTATCTGAAAGGTCCAAAAACATCCCACTAAGGACTATTCCAAAACCAAGGCTAACCAAATTGGGAGGGATTGCTGCCCGGAATGGTGCCTGAGCAGCACTCATGAGGAGTTTTCCTTAATAACCATCTTGTGCAGACATATTAATGCTATATACTTGGAAAAAGAATCAGACTTCTGTCAATTTCAAATAAAATAAAAGTTTAGATATTAATGGTCCAGAAGATAATGTTTTCAGTGACTCGGAGATGCCTATAAACTTTCTTAGATCAATGCATACCAAGTTCATTCTGAGTTTTAAGGAAAAATGTTCAGACTTGTACCAGTTTTAAATAAAATAACAGGTTCAAATAATGAAGATTCCATCAATAAATTCGAGGTGGCCATTAAATACTGAGATCAAAATCTTCCATATACCAAACTTCTTCCCTTAGCAGCTTTATGCACATAAGAAAAAGATATTTTGAAAAACTAAGTTCACTCTGACTTCAAAGAAAAATTTTTCACACTTGTGCTCAATTGAAATATAATAACAAGGGTCAAATATTAAAGATCTAGTTCAAAAACTTGGAGAGGCCCATGAATTACTGAGCTCAAGTTCTTCCATATACCATATATCTTCCCTTAGCCACCGCATATATAAACACTTGATCTAGTTCAATAACTTGGAGATGGCCATGAATTACTAAGCTCAAGTTCTTCCATATACCATATATCTCCCCTTAGCCGCCGCATATATAAAAACTTCCAATTGCCTAGACGTTTTACGAACTAAGGACGGTCCAACACTCAATCATATCCACCATTCACTATAAGCATCCATAAGAGTTCACTAAAGAATTCATAAACTTTGAAACAACTAAAACATCCAAATCCTATATTAGAATAGGGCAATATTAAAGATCACCAAAACTAGAAGATAAACCAAATGATATTAGCCCAAAATAGTGAACCAGAAAGATTATATTTGAATCTCATTATACAATATACCAGGTGCATGCTTGTGTATTTGGATTCTAGGTCTCAAAGAAGCTAGAGTGAATAAATTTGTAAAGACAATCAACATCAAGTCAAAATCTTGCCAAACCTTTCTTCTTTATGTGGCTGCAATGACATAAACCCCAGCCAAATATAGATAGGAGATACTATAATCAGCAGGTCTGGTGCATATTTCTTCTTTGCAATTGGCAAAAATCCCAAGAACAGCATAGCAAGAACAAAACCAAAGTTGAAATTGTTAAATCCATTCCTTAGGTAATATGATGGTCCCTCGGTCCCATATAAATGACTTTCGCCACCTCCAGCGACATTATATATCAACAGGTTCAAAACAGAAGAAGTCCATCTTCCATAATAGTAGAAGTCTATAAGTATTGATGATGCCTGGAAAAACTTGCATCACGTTAACCATACATATCTTAACAAAACAAAATGATGAAGATAACAATATACACATCATTAGATGGAAATCAAATTACTGAATTAACTTACAAGAAGAATAATTGAGCTCACAGCCCCAGCAATAAATGCTTGTCTGAATTTTCTTAATAAAGAGGAAATTGTCACTGGAAGGAAAGCCAAGATTGAGAATGGCCAGCCAAGTATTACACCAGCAGCAGAAACAGCAACTGCTGCAGCAGGTTTATCAAGAAGAAATAAACCTGATGCAAGAGAGACAGCGTACATAGAGAATGAGCTTGGCAAGAAACCTGGAAACAACAAACAATTGACATAAGATGGATGTTAGCCAAATCTAGCCAGCATTGTGACTTTGGAACCTTATAATGATTCTTCTATACACAAAATCAGATCCAGATTTGTCCATTTTCCAGATTTTTTGTTCCGGAAGAAAAATGCATGTCTTGAAGCGGTGGTATCATCAAAGACAGACTCATGATGATGACACAGAAGACACTGAAGTTTGATATAACGTAACTAAAACCTCACTTACTTGTGCTAGCAAAGAAACAACCGCTGGTTAAGCAGAGCATTGCAAGTGTATATGAAGCAAGTCGTTTTCCATATTTTCTTGAAAGAGATACGACAAGTACAGTTTCCGTGGCAACAGAGAGAAGACCTAAAAAGAGTCTTACTGCATAGAATACTCTCACCTATAATACAAAAAGAAATCGGTAACAGGCATATATAATGGAGGAGTACAAAGTACTTTCCCTTAAATCATGAGCAGAACAAGGTCAGCAGTAAATCATTAAGCTCAGCCTGAATCTTACCTTTTCCTCGCCAAATATCCAGGAAGCTGGTCGCCCCACTATTTCATGGAGTAAAAGGTACAAGTACGACCGAAGAGCAAACTGTGAACTATAAGAGTTATAAAGTAATGGTCAATAGGATTGTAAAAAGAAGACTGAAGCTAACAAGATTCTATACTAAGTTATTACCCAGCCCACATTATTTTGATCCAATTGCCTTTTTATTTTATTGGCAAATTATAGGCACTGTCAAATTGGGGCTCAATAAGCAACTTTTTTCCTTAAATTCCTCTGTTTCCGAGAATTAGCTACGTCCATTAAAATGTCACTATGATGTATATTCCAGCCAATTCAATTCCCTGTATGCTCAAGAATGATACAATGGCCATCCAGTTTCTAATACAACTAGAGTATGACTGACCATTTACTTCGCTATAGACCAGCATAAAAGTACCTGTATTCCCAGGTCTGAAACCCAGATTTGTAAAGCAGATAATGAAGGGGTTCCCAGTAATTGAAGACCTCATCGCAGTCGTGGATAATGTTGGAGGAGGCACTCATGTACCTGAGCATTCCCAGAGCAAAAAAGGGTAAGAACCATCCCAACCCTTTGTCCACCTCTTCGCCGCCGTCCGATTTCTGGGGCTTATCAAGCTTCGTGTACGAAGATGAAGACGAAGGCGACGGATGGGAAGGTTGAGGGCGTCTCTGCCTCGGTGCAAGGGACATCTTGCTTTTCGCCGAATCAGAAGTCTTTCTTCTTCGTTAGCGTTGTCGCTGATTCAGTCAGTCACCATTGGGGGTCATACGCTGAAACCATTTTCTTGCATTTGAACTTTGCTAGGCAGTTTTCTTTTTTTAACTTTCCTTCCTTTCAAAGCAACATCAGAACTGTCATCCAAAAAAAAAAAAAAAAAAGAAAGAAAGAAAAAGCAGAACTTTTTTTTTTCCCCATTTTATTAAGTTGGTATAGTTTTTTGAATTATAAATATTAGTTCATATATATCCTTGTTAATTTATAAGAAAAACAATGTAAGTAATTAACAACATGACTTTCAATAAATGAATATTTGAATTAATTTTGTCACATAAATATAAAAAAAATCATGATAAACTATAATAACATAATTTTTTTTATATTGATAATAAATAAATGTCACTCCATCATTTCTTTTTTTTTTTTTAAATCTTCTCATTTATTTGCATTTTGTGGCAACACGTCACTTAGCATATCCACATTATTCCTAATTGATAAATTATTAGTATAAGGACTAGTACTTATAATTGAGAAAATTCTGAAAACCTTATGAAAAGAAAAGAAATTACATGAACCTAATTAAGAATAAAAATCAAATTATAAGGACTTATAAATTAATTTTTTTAAAAAAAAAGAAAACAATCTTTAAGTTGGTCACCAGTCCATAATCCAACTCATTCCTCAAATTAATGAGATATCCACCTATTTATTTAGTTCAAATTAAGTAAGAAAATAGTGATTTTCAGAAATAATATAATATCATTAAATTAATGAGCACCGGCAAGTATAGCAAATACGCAGACATGTGGGTCAATACATGTACTTTCTACAAAGAGAGTACTGGAAAACATTTTTCTTTCTCCTTTTCCACAACCGAAACCGAAGAACGTGCATAGTAAACCTTCTATATATTTAAATATGAGCAGCACAACCCCATTTTGTGGCCACAATAATGCTTAGAGAAAAACGTGGCTTCTGAGTTCTACAGCAGCAGAAATATCAGAAAGAGATGAAGAAGAAGAAGAAAGTAGCCATTTCAAAGAAGGAAAGGAGAGAAAAGCTGATGAAGTTAATTAATTAACCAGTATTTTGCATGCCAGCAGCAATACCCTTCATGGTAATAATGAGGGTATCTTCCAAACCAGGAGCATATTCACTTGTGGGGTTGAGTGCAACCAGCTCATCAGCAGCTTTACTCACTTGATCTGTAGAGTCTTTTGAGATCTTAGGACGCTCCTTCTTTGTATGGTTTGGATCCCTCACACTTTTCAATGTGTATGCTTGGCAAACATTTAGGGTTGTGATGTATGAATCTCTCAGTTTCAGTCTTTGCTTCAAGTATGGATCCCCTTCTAGAATTTCCTTGTGTCCAGCCACCTGTACGCACCACCACATGTCCATACATTATATAAAGCTTGGAAAATAAATACCACCTCCCGTTATTAATATAAAAGCTACTTAACTAATTTAAATATATTAAAAAAATTAAAAAAAACTAATTATAATAGATATGACCTGATCTCTGTGTAATATTAGATTATATATTAGTTTATAAGTTAGATAAATTAGTTTGAAAATAATAAATATGTTAAATTTAATTAAAAAGAAAAAAGAATCTTTTCTTTTGTAAACCCTAGTGAAAGAATTTATTGGGCTGTCTTCTGATCATTTTACATAGACAATCGCAAACAACAGCAAGGATTTGATTAAAACAAAACAAGAGGTTGTGAAATGATCTATCTTGGTTTTATACAAGGGGGATATATTTAAGGCTAAATCTAACTCTCGACTAGTGTTATATGTATTAGGATCAAAGGGAGTGAGTGATACTAGTAAATAACGTAATTTGTCTCCAAAGCTAGCTAGGGCAAGCCTCACAATAAAGGAGTAAGCAAATGTTAATTACCTGAAGGAGGAGTTTCTTAGTTTCTTCATATTTGGCCCTCAGCTGCTCACCGAAAGGTTTGAGCTCGGGAGACAAGAAGCTTATCATACAGAGCAGCAATGCCAGGGTCTCCCTTGGCGAACACCATTTCAACCAAATCAATGGTGACTCTGAAGAAAGGCCATTGATTGTACATGTCTTGCAGCATCTTCAGATTCCTATTGTCTTTGGAAATCACTTGCTTAAATGCCTCCCCAAAGCCTAGCCACACCGGCAGATGAAACCTTGTCTGCGTCCATGCAAAGATCCATGGAATTGCCCTCAGTGATTCTATCCCCCCACTTGGCTTTCTCTTTGCTGGTCTGCTTCCTATGTTCATCCTCCCATACTCCAACTCTGGTGTAGCCTGCAAATTTCACAAACCCAAACCCTATATCTTGAAACTCATTAGTGCTTGTATGTCTGGGGATTCCCTTTGGAAACCCGAAACTGATTTTTGAATCCTTAAAAGTTAGTTGGATCCAAAAATCATGTTTGATTTAATGTTGGGAGTAAATGGACTTTCCTTCAAAAAGCCAATTAGGTTAGAAGCCGAATTCTAGAGCTTTTGAAATGGACTTCTCTTTAAATGGGCTTTTCTTCAGTAAAATCCAATTTTGTTGACTTCTTTACAGCAACATTCAGGGCAAAAAATCATATTACACTAAATAAAAAGTTAGATTTGCAAAGGTTAATGCCTACAAACCCATAATCTGTAATAAAACAAAACTATATTCCTATAAGGTTCACTTACCAGGCGAAAATACTCAACAAAACGTGGTTCCTTGAAAACAATAGAACGGTACTCCTCAGTAGCAATGGCGGCCATTTCATCCATCAGAGCTCGCCATTCTGGTTTAGGGGAAATAGGAGGACGCATTCCATGTTCTAAAGTAGCAGCCGTGTAACGCTGAAGCGTTCTAAAGCACAAATTCTGTTCTCCGAACGATTGCTCTATAACTTCTCCCTGCACCGTCACCCGAAGCGACCCATGAATCGTGTCCGGAGGCTGAGATAATATAGCCAGATGCGTCGGCCCGCCGCCTCGCCCGACGGTTCCGCCTCGGCCATGGAACATAGTCAGCTTGATACCATACTGTTTCGCCACCTTTATAAGTTCTTCTTGAGCCTTGTATAACTGCCACGCCGCCGTGAACCTTCCGGCATCTTTGCCAGAATCTGAGTATCCGATCATAACTTCTTGTTTCCCATTAATTCGGTTTCTGTACCAGTCTAACGAGAACAAACGAGCTAGCGCTGCCGGAGCAGCTTCTAAATCTGCAAGCCTTTCGAACAACGGAACAACTCTTAATGGATATTTCACATGGCATTCTTTCTGCAGAAGCTCCACCTCGAGGACGTCGGACGGCGCGGTGGCCATCGATATGATGTAGGCACCGAAGCTTCCGGGAGGTAGTTCTGCTAAGACATGGAATGTGTCGAGAACAACCTTAACTTCTTCGGTTTGAGGAAGGTCTGGTCCGAACAATGGACGCTTGCCACTCAACTCTGAGAGAAGCCATTCTTGTCTTTTTTCCTCGGACCATTCATGGTAGGATCCGATTTCGAGGTGTTTTGTAATGGCGTCTATAGCATCACTATGACGATCAGATTCTTGTCTGATATCAAGCCTCACCATAGACAGTCCAAAGGCCGTGATTTGCCTCATGAAATCAAGAAGACTTCCATCTGCTATAGCCCTATCACCACAATCACATAATGATCTGTAACAGAGTTCCAGTGGTTGCATGAACTGCAAAAAATAGAAGTTTCAACTTTTGTCAGTATTTATATCAGAGAGATCATATAATAAAAAGGTTTCTGAGAGGATTTATAAAGGTCATAATGCTAGTATTGAAGCTTCATGTGCTAAGTTAAAATGAAGCTTCATCTGCATATTGAAGAAATATGTGTGTGTGTGTGTGAGTATACCTCCTGAACTGTGGTGTAAGTTAATTCCTCAGGAATGTCAGAGTGACCTTCAGCTAGCAAATGGCGAGAACGCTCACGAGTATGGTAAAGTCTATCCCTTACGTTGCCCAGAATCACACGATATGGTTCATTTAGGGGAACTCTCTTCCAGAACTCTGAAGATATGCAAGCCCATATCACAAAAGTGAAGTGAAAAATTGACCTTTACTTCATTATATGTTCTGTTGAAAATTTTCAGATACGCCTATGTTGCAAACTTGTGTGGAGGTTCTTACCTTTATAGTGTTTTGCAACATCATTCTTCTTGGCAGATCTGTGAATTTCATCTGCACGAACACGTAATTCCTCGTTGCAGCGCCACATTGACATCTGCAGAAAAACACCAACAAGCAGAGATTTCTTCACCAAATTCAAAAGACTAAGCTAATCATATGAAGCTTGCTTGCTTCTTTTTAAACAAGAGTCGGGATAGTTTGAGTCTTGTGAATAAAGAGAATGGAGATAGACCGTGACTTTGTCTCTTCAGATAACTGAGTAACATAATTGAGAAAGAAAGGATACAAGTTGGATCAGGAAACTATACAGGCATTAAGTACCTCAAACATAAGATCCTCTATTTGGGAATAATACAAATTTGCAGCCATCATTCTAGCCAATAGGCAAACATCCCTGGTCACTTCAGGAGTCACCCTTGGATTACCTGCATCAACATTATTTCAACGGAGAGATCATAATTAAAAATGCTTTGTATATACTCTCTCTTCTTTCAATAAAATAATCTTTCTGGCTCATTACTTCACTCAATAAACCCAAGAGTTCTTAAAATCTCTCCACTGGAGAGCACAAAGTGCTTTTAAATAAGAGGTAAGGAAGAATACACACACACACACACACAGATATATACCATCACGGTCACCACCCATCCAAGAAGAGAACTGAATAAGAGGAGCATCATAAGGAACGCGCTGGTTAATGCCAATGTTGTTCAAAGCAGTATCAACTCTGCGCAGAAAACTGGGAACTCCCATCCAGATTGTCTCATAAAAGTAGCTCATTCCTGCCCTCATCTCATCTTGTGGTGTTGGAGGCGTCCTCCTTATTTCATCTGTACGAAACGCAGCTTGTATCTGCACAAAACAGCACAACCTGCTTACAAATTTTGCCCTCTTTTCATTTTCTGCGTAAACCTAGTTAGCTAGAAGAAGCAACCAGCAGATTCATATCATCTTTAATTTACTTTGATATACCGAGTGTTACCTACAAATTTTATAAAATACAAATAATCGAATTGCGTATATAAAAGAAGTCAGTTAGAAGTAATAAATATGTTTAAAAAAATGCAAATTATTTTTCAAAATTCTCTTATTTATGAAAGGATTGGTTGAGAAAGAAACTGAATAATTAATGCAATGAGACTACCCAATAATTAATGGGAGTAAAATTGAAAAATGATATTAGAACTAGTTTCTGACAGGCTATTAATATTTGTTATAAATAGACATATGTTGTCCAAGAAAAACTCTTACATATTAGAATGAAGAGTAAATACTAAATATGCATCCCATGTATATGAGACTCCGCACCACTAATTTACTCCAGTGACATGGGTCTAGGGCAATCCTAGGGTAAAAAATTGTACATTCCATGTATAGAACATTCTTCGAGAGTTTTTAGGATTAAATAAGTGAATTTGCACAGCACATATCTAGATCCACGGAAAAAAGAAATTTATGTCAAGAAGAATGAACGTTGCGCTATGACATTTTCTACGTCATTGTTTTCTTTAATACCACATGATCATATAGAATCTAATTTAGTTAGGAAAAAAAAAGAACGTATTTGGGCAGAAACTGGCGGGAATTGAAAAAAAAAATGTCAAATTGGGTAAAGAATTAAACAAGAATAATAATAGGAAGCACAATTTGGGGAATACAATTAAACTTGAAACAAATTAAAAAACCTTACCTCTCTCTGCAAGGCCTCACCAAGCTCCTGCTTATCATCAGGAGCAGCCGCGGCGTAATATTGATTTAAACAATTCCTTATCCTGCAAATAAAAGCAAGACACCCACATGAATGCTTCGCTTTAATTTCATAAATATGAAATTAATCTAGAATTTGGATAGAGAGAATAAGTTAACATACAGAAATTCAATTATATACCCATTTTTAATCTTTATATACTTCTTATAACTTTTACACTTCTTTTAAACATGGGCATCCAAATATGATGCATCGGGCAAATCACGATAATCCAAGACTAGATGAGGTTTGGACAATCCAAATTTTACTATTTTATTTTGAGAATACATATAATTTTTCAGAAGAAATTGAAATGATGGGAATTGACAAACCTAGCGTATTTCTGAAGCAAAGATCTACGAACAGACTGAGTGGGATGAGCAGTGAGGACGAGATCCACAGTCTGGTTCTGCAGCTCATGAAAGATCTCTTCAGGCGTCTTCTTCATTTCGACGACGAGTTTCCGGAAAGTCTCTTCGATGTTAGATTCGGTGGTGGCGTTGTTCTCGTCGGAGAAATTCCCCTTCTTGAGCTTGTTCCTTCTCCGGTTGGCGATCTGAACCTCCTCCGCCAAGTTAGCCAAATTAAGCATGTTGGAGAATGACTTGGCCACCACAATGGAGTCGCCGGCGTCCAAACTTGTTATCAGTTTTCCCAGCTCCTCCAGTTTCTGTGGATCCTGCTTTCCTTCGTACTCCGCTGAAAGCTCGTATGCTTCTTGCACCTGTTACCAAACACATTTTATTACTCTTCTTCTAGCTTCTTGTAGAGTTCTTTTCTTTCAGAAGCGAGGGAAATTACGAAGAGTAGTGAAAGTATTTTTCCAGAAATGGATTCGCTCTTGTCTTCTGTTTGGAGGAAATTTACATTGTTGAGGGATTTGAACTAACGGTCATGCACAGTACGGTTCATATTTTGATCACAACAGTGAACTCTTTTCGACCTTTCCCAATAGTTAAATGATGCCATCAAATTAGATTAGATTTCAAATAAAAGAGGAATAGTCACCAAAAACAAGAGGAACAGAAAAAATAGAAATAATATCAGGGAAAATTAGAAAAAAGTCTCCCGTTGAAAGTTTTATTAATTAGAAGAACATAAATCAGAATATACCAGTACTCTATATCAGTACTTTTTATGTACAAAAATTTACCAAATCTTTCTTAAAGGTTACAAGTGCATGCTGCTTACCTGTTATGGAAATTTTAAGTGGTTAACATAGACAATATTAACATTATTTTAGAAAGAGGGTCTCTTCCCGAGGTTTAGGATATAACTAAATAGGTAGAGAGAGAAGTAGATGTTTTGATAGATCCCACCACCATATCCCTTTTCCTTTGTCTTTCTACTGGTACTCCCAAGTTTATGTGGGGAGAACCTCACCTCATCTTAAACATTTATGATAGAAACTAATCATATAAGCTTCGAAATCATATTGAGAAACACTTCCCAATTGGTGACAAACCAAATTGGATAAGATAATAAATGAACTTAGTTTATTAACGTTAAGCTTTTTTTCCTGGCCTTTTGCCTTTTGCCTTTGTATTAAAAAACACAATAAAATTTTGAAAAATATCAACCACCCTAGGAAGTTCAGAAACATCTATATAGAACTTAGAAGATTTGTTTCATCCATCCTAGAAACAAAGCAACACATTGAACATAGTGAAGATTTGAATCAAACTAAAACGAATTATATGCCAGTGATCCGATCCATATTCAATAAAGAAAATGTGACTAGTGTATCTAGGAGAGAAATATAAAGATGAGACATGGATTCCACACACACACACACACAATATTCTCTAGTATCAATTTCTATTTACTTAATTCACTTACTGTTTGGGTGAGACGTTGGCCATGTAGATCATTGAGGATATGGAGGAATTTATCCAAGAGCAAAGCATCGTACTCAACGAGTTTATCATCCTCACTCACTTTGGCTGGAACCAATTGACGAAGCTGTGCATCAATGGATGCCATCTTCTCTACGGGTCGGCTCGCCATTAATTACTGTATCAAACACAGTCCGTCGAAATCCTATTTTTAATGGTTTATATCAAACCTTAAAACTACAGGCCAACTAGAATGATGCTTCAAAAAGAAGGAATTCTCCATGACCCCATATTATCGATTGAATTGAAATGGATCAGTGTTTAAAAGCCAATGAATGAAAAGGACCTGTGAATTAATAATGGTGGTTGATTAGATGGAAGGAAGAAGACGATTGAAAATAGAAAGAGAGAGAGAAGAGGTTAATTAGTAGTTGAGATCCGAAGTGGGGTATCTTTATATAGAAAGTTGACACATTTATGGAAAAAATAAAAACGAAATTTGAATCTCATTACTTCATAAATTTGACTTTCAGTACTACTATTGTTCCACAGTGTTTCTCTGTTTTTGAGATGTTACTATTTGTAAGGTGGTGGAATGGAATATGCTTTAACTTCCATTTTCTAATGCTCTTCCGAGTCATCGGTTTTGATATTCGGAATTGGGTTATTTCCATACTTTCTCTCATCAATATACCTCTCTTCATATGTAATTTTTTTTATTTAATTATCCATTTGATATTAAACTAAATATATTATTCATTTAATTATTACCATATTAAAAAGGATTATGATGTATTGGATCAGGAGAAGAGATGCATTGAAAGAGAGTAAATCCCCAACAAAACCCCTTTCAACAGGACCATATGTTTCTTGAAGATCTCTTTATGAGACATCTAGGGGAAGAAATTTTTTTTTTATAATTTATAGCAAGATCTTGACACTCAGCACGTTATATCAACAATATAGATTTTGCCATGAATCAAGTACTCTAACTTCCTTTCCACTAAAAAAATATTTATATTAAGTTAGGTAGAGTGAGTTCCAATCTATTTCACACATCATGGAAATACACTTATACAAGGTACTACAACAAGTAATAGTTCTCAAATCATTATTAGCAGTATTCTTCACATCAATCTCTATTGATGAGGAAGAGTTGAGAGATGAAGAAGAAAGTTATACATGACATTTTGAAAGTCTGAGCAACACTCTGTCTTAGGCTTAATTGGCTCTCACTTATCAATTCTAATCTTCGGATGCAAATCGAGTTGTCAAAAAAATTTTTTAGGATACTATGAAGGCCTTGAGTATGATTTGCACTCCGGAAACTCAAGTTGGGACAATAATAGTTTTTATAAAGTAATAATTTGACTTTGTCTCTAATATATTCAAAACAAAGACAGCTCCTTCATAAAAATTTCTTAATTTATAAGGGCAGGACTTTTTTAAAAAAAACATATCTTTTTTATTTTGAAAAAAATATTCCCAACACTTGTGAACCAAGTCCAAGCCTGGTTGAGTCTCTAGGATCAACCCAGAGATACCATCTCCAATAATATGTCCCAAGTTGCCTTAATAGAACCTATGATACGTCCTTCGTAGAGGAAGGCTTGATTAGTCGACATTGCTGCATAACATTCAAAACTAATCCTTCCTCAATATAATGTTTCCCCTAAGATGGGTTTTCCATCACATGATATTCCCAAAAGACGACGTTGGAAATCATAAACAAGATGTAGTCCAATGGATAGGATAAGGGCATTTAGAAGTTTTATTGGTTTTAAAAAAAAAAAGGCTCTAGATTAGACGGAGTTGTTTGTCTTGTTTAAGCATATTGTGTGTTCAACTTTTCATTAGTATGATGACTGCATGAATTCTTTTCATCAGATGAAGGATGACGAAAAAAAGGCATTAGAGTACCTCCCTCTTTAATAAAATGAAAAGTAATTCTATAAATATAAAAAATTTTGATGTTCTCAATCTAAAAATAATAGAAAAATAGATATTATAAAATAATAACGACAGAAGGATGCAAATAATTAATTACAAATCTCGATTCTATTTAAACGTACCAAACATTGCTAAGTTAGCTTCAAGCGATCTTTTATTCCTGGCCCCCAACTAATTAATGACTTGTTATCATGTTTCACGGCCATTATATTGTTGAATTTTAAACGGTATAATTTGCTACCTTGTCTTAGATCGAAAAGCCCATTGATTATGTTTGTTGGGTAAAATTAACTTTTTGCTATATTCTAATTAAAATATTCATGTTTGGTCCATCTCACTATCTCTTGTGGAAATGGGACATGAGGGTAAATCTGAATTACCCTTCAGTGAATTGAACCCTTTTGACTGTCTAATTAGATGGAATAATTTATCAAATCATGAATGAGTCTATAGGGTCATGACATTATATTCATAATTAATTCTTTGCTTACATTCTAATGCATTTTGTGGCACATGCCCTTATGAATTGATTGAACGATCAATTATGGGGGGGGGGGAATCCAACAAAATAATCACTAATTTTAATTTTCTTCCTAAGAAGATAGTTCTCTAAAAAGATTTTTTTTAGCCGTTAATAACAACCTATTCAATGATTTTTTCCCCCTACTACCTATACAAAGATTTAGCCGTTACCCTCTACTCTGCGCAATTCATTTTGCTAAACTAGGCTTGTTATTATTGTCGTCGTCTTGTTAGTTTATATGTAAAATTTAGTATGCCTAAAAAGATACAATTGTGAATGGTTTTCTTATTGCTTTAATTTCTCTTGGAAAGGAGAAGATAAAACATAATCAAAGCAGAAGAATGAGCACTTTATCTTGTTAGCATGGAAAGAGACACAATCAGTGAAAAGGATATGGTAAGCTCTTCAAGATCTGCTTTCATGGTTCAAATCTGTCCTTTTCTGTAAATTTGTACTTCTCCTATTTTGAATATAAGACCTATCTTATAGTGTAATTTACACTATAAAATGGGTCTTATATTTAGGACCAGAAGAGTATATGAAGATAGCAGAGAGTGTTAATTATATCCATTGCTTCATAAATAGTCAAAATGTATATTTCTATTATCCTAAAAAAGAAAATCATCCACCTGAAATCACAAGCGTGAAATGTTCATACAAGAAACCCTTCTTTAAGTTTTTGAATCTTGAAGTTTCTAGAGACTTCATTGCAAGGATGGATCAGCAACTGGTGGTGATCCCAATGGTTTATGACGCTTTTGGGTTGCTCCACCCCAGGTAGAAATTAATTAGTTTAGTGACAAAAGAACATTAGGAGGAAAAACTCTAACAATGGGATATTTTCTTACTATTTTTAAATATAGTATTCTTTCCTTCTATTCCCCCCCCCCTTCCCCTAGTCCAGACCAAGCACTATCGTGTATATATAGTTTATTTTTATTCAATCAAGTATATAAAAATACGAAAATTTATCGTTCTTTCCATAGCATGCCAAGAATAATTTCATGCTGCAAGATTTGTTTCCATTCTTTTCTACTTACCAATTTGAGATTTGTGAATTATGTTCTCAAGCTAATTATTAAGAATCAGTTAGCAGACATACTAACGGGGGCATTTGAGTAGTTAGCAGCATTTTCAGGTTGTACAGTAGTGCTATATTCCATCACTTTCTTTTCATAAAATTACTCAAATAATTTGGGATCCATGCCTTCCAAAAGTCTAAAAAAAATAAGTTACATTATTTATAATTTACAAATAGTGTAACTTGTTGGAGTTTTTATATACTATTTATATAGATAGGTTATCGAAAATTTGAATCCATTATCTTTTCTCATTTCAATGGATAATAGTTTACTCATTGACATTTAATTGAAAATTTAATAAAAAATTGTTCAACTTGAAAGATATAAATTCATGCAAATAAGTATTTCTTCTTTTTTGAAAAAAAAATTAGGTGAATTGGGATCTAAGGACTTACTAAAATTATCAAGATATGCTTTAGGGCTCAAAAAATACTTACAAAAGCAGTTATAAATTATTCACCGACAAGATCCTCCTGCTGGCCATGATATATAGAAACTGATGTTCTTTTGAGATGCAAGTTGCATTATATTCTTAGTAACTAAACTGATTTTCACATTTGCTACAAATAAGTAATTAACTTGCAATAATAAATGTGCTTTTCCTATAATAGAGATAACAATAGTGAGTAGTACAACGTAGGATAAGAATAATGCAATCCTGGCATCCTTAGCTAAATTATTGTTTATGCTGAGTGATTAAGTCAAAAATCAAATCTTTCTCTCTTTAATTTTTAAGTATATTATTCCATATCCGTGTCAGAATAAGTCCAAAAACATGGTGGTTCCACAAAAGTATGTATATTATTTAATATCTCAATTATTCGATCCATAAAAAACAGCTTATACACAGTAATAAACGATAAACTTTACAACTGTCTGATTCTTTATATATAATAAATTAATAATAGTTAAACATGTTATACATAAAAATTAAAATTCCCAACTTAGTTTTAGTTGTTAGGAAACTAGTCAACATAATTAAAAAAAATAGTTCCTTATTGATTGTTTACCGGTGGGACTTGCTCTTGATGTAAAATAGTCTTTGTTTTTATAGCTACTACTATTTTTATATATTTGTTTTTGGAAAAAATTACGCATAGGTTTAGTCCCAATGAATTTAATATATTTTTAGGACTAACTTGTAAATAGAACAGCTCGACTTGTGAATATTAAATTCTGACTTGTAAATACTGATTTTTTTTAAAAATTTGTTAGTATTAAATGAAATTCAAAAAATATATTTGAACTTAATTTTTATTTTTCTTTTATTTTATTGTATTTATTACTAGTTTCACATGAGAATGAACTTTTCATTTTTATTTTAGTTAAAAAATAATTCTTTCCCATAATACTCTTTATTTATTTTGAATTTAAAAAATACAGAAATTTATGACAAAATTAAAGAAAAATATGTCGGAAAATCAAAAGAGTAATTATGTCAAGAACTCGGACGTTTAACTATCGGACTTTTTTTTTCTTTTGGCAACAAACCATCGGAGATTACTTGTACGAAAAGCTAGTTTTTCCATCAAAGTCAAATTCATATGCAAGGTTACCAAATATTTCATCCAACATGTAAAACATGGGCTGCTTCGTATAATATTGTTGATATTTTTA